ATAAGGTCGATGGAAACTTGGGAACTACGCCTACCTGATTAGCCCCAAGGAGGGCGAAACCGGTCATAGGGTGTCGACGAGTTTTCAGCAACCTTGCGAGTAGTTTCCTTTATGACTATTCACCCAAGTTACTTAGGGGCTTTCATAATCAGCTTATCTTGCCCAGATATTTTGATGCGTTCATTATCCATGCCCAATCTGTTCAAATTGACTAGATACGAATAATTCGTGAACATTTTATCTCGCACCTCTGGTATTAAAATCTTTCTACAATATGTCACCGACATAATGTTAATGTGGATAAAAAAGTTCCAGATTTTGTTGGAATTTCGACCCAGCAGTGTGCCAAACTCGAACCCGTGACCCCCAATGAATGGTTCGAGACTAAACCGTTCTAATGAGGTTCGACTCCAAATGTACGCGTTTAATTACACTGTGTTTCTGTGAGAAAAAAGGGTCACTCCTGCACCCTATCACTTAATGCGTTTTTATTCAGCGAAGATACTGCCATTATGGACGACTCAAGTAGAAAGAAATAGGACGTCGGTTAGATTCACAAAATGAACTACTTGAATGTCAGTGAATGCCTCATTGATATTCGCTCTTACAAACTATCAGGGAAATCGGAACCTCATACTGTAGGATTAATCCAAATACCAAGGAGTGATAACAATGAATACCTGGATTTGCACAGGATCATTGTGTTCAAGCCGAAAAGATGAAAAACCGAAGGGATTTAGATCCGTTCAGATCCGCTTGTCGTCTCGAACAGCTTGGGACGCAGTTTTTTCTAGCACTGCATTGATAAGGTCAGCAATAATCACGGTGAGAATGTACAGGTTTTGCCCGAATCTGTCCAAACGAGGTCCTGATTATAAACCTATCCGTTCTGCCTCCAAAGTAGAGGCCAAGATTTAGATTGGATCCCTTGCTTTGGAGAGAAGAAAGTGAGGCCCTAGCAACACACATACTAACGCGTGTACCGTGTGGAATCGGACCCAAAGAGATGCCTTTCATGGATAACAGAAAAAAATGGAAATTACCAGGATAGTACAAAGCCAGGCAACCGTCATACACACAAGCAATCGGTAATACTAAATACCGAAGCAATAACTTATAATAGATGGGAAATTTCCCGAGGTTTGCTTGCTCCGCATTTTCCTTACTAAGACCGGTCAAGTCGGTGGTGGCTAACGGCTTACATCCGATTCACTTGAAAGAGCGATTTAGACCTTCGTGCGAGAGGGGAAAAAGTACATTTTCGCGAATGTCGTGATTAACCGCAAGCGAATACACATGCGCCCAGGTGCATTTGTGTACCTAAGCCGTACGGACGAATGTGTGTACCGGACGCCATTTGTTGCATGTGAACACGGACACCTGCATGCTCATTTCGGTCTCGCAAATGGCGTGTACAGGCTCACAACAAGCATGGCTAAATGCGGCGTCGATTTTTTCTCTATTTTTTGATAATAAACGCGGAAGCCGACGTTGGTTGTTTCATCGAGGCAAGGCGACAACAAGATTTATGTAGGCGACGGCTTTGTGTCCACCCCCGCAGCCCAGTTGTGTGTGTGTGTGTGCACCACATACCGCAGCATGTTCATAGATCCCATCCACACACACACACACACACACACACACACACTGATCACAATTCTGACCTAGTTGACGGATATGGTGGTTTGGTAAGACGCAGTCCAAGAGATTATCAATGTGAGGAAAGCAGGCTTTCGTTGCTTTGAACAGATAGAAAGTAGCAACATTACAGCATAGATAAGGAATATAATGGTGGGGAAACAAAGTCTTTGTTTATTGCTCGTCTCATGGTTGTTATTCAATTGCTATTAATATGGTTGTTATAAGCAAGTTCCCCCCCCCCTTAAAGGGAGACATCCGACGGGGGCAGTCATAAATATCCCCTGATGTAGGGAAGTGGTGTCCCGTAAAGACATTATGTTCTCGAGCAATACACTAATTTGGAAATCACTTTGGTTTCACGGGAGACTCAACTGAATTTCTCGTTTATGATGTCCTCAAGCTGAATGTGCTGCACACAGGCCACCTCATGACTCAGTTGGCACGATATTCGACATATCTCAGTATATTTTCATAAAGGAGGCGAATCACAGGGTTGCGGAAAACTCTTCGACAGCCCACGACCGGTTTTGCCCTTCTTGGGGCTCGTGGGCTGTCGAAGAGTTTTCAGCAACCTTGTGAGTAGTTTTCTTTATGAAAACATTATGTTCTCTGTATTGGCCACTGTTTGTGAATTTTCAAAACAAGTCATTTTTGGCCGACAGACAAGAAGTGGAAACTGGAAAAAAGGACCCATGAAGAAGCACATTGGTCTCAGAGGTTCCATTTCAAAGCAAACCTCCGAGGTTGGCAGTCGATTGAGGTAAGAAACGACTGGGGGTTTTGTGCAGATGGACTTTTGTTTAAATTTCAGCCGGTGCCACTGAAATGGTGCTTTATAGGACAGATGTCATCTGGGGGGACAGTCTACAACAAATTTCCTAAAGAGATTTGTACAAGCAGCATTGCTATTATCTTTCACAGAAGTTATCTATTTTAACAAAACCCAAGTACGACGTTTTATGTTAGTTTTGTCCTTTTCCAGCAATCCTCCAACAGTGGCACCGGGACACTAGAGTAGTCAGTAAATCAGTGAGAATTGTAAATTCTTGGGTGGACCAATGAGCGAAATGTCAGAAAGAAAGCTGTTTCACAGAAAGATACAAACACGCTCAGTCCGGCAAGTACGTGGAGTAATAAATCAAAGGAAATCACAGCTTCAAACTAATCCAGACGTTCAAATCGTGGTAGACGGAGGTCGTTTTCAGGATTTGGGTTGAGAACCCGTAGACTGCCCTTTGGATGTTCACAACGCCTCAGTAAGGACAGAGTTACAATGCACTTGGATGAGCTTCATATGACATCGATCCATCTTTGGATGCGGGGACTTCAGGTCCCCTAAAACAGGCGCTTCCGAACACCGTATTGTCAACAAAATTGATTGGAGCTTGTATGAAAAACTGGATTTGTCTGAGAGGAACTTATCGGTGCTTGCCTAGTTATTTTCTTCGACCTTAAGTAGGTAATGGGCTCGAGATAGCTCAGTGATTGAGGCATGAACTTACTCACCAAAATGCTCGTTGTTCGAACCCAGCCTCGGTATCTCAACTGCCCCCGTCTGGCTTGGGCAACTTGGTAGTATCTGACGCCTCGTGCTTCCTTCGGGTGGCATGGTGGCTAGGCATCACAAGATGTTTCAGCTGAATGCCAAGATATTTCATGCAATTAACGACCTAGTTGGTTAAATGAAACGGATTTAGTCTAAATTTGCGTATACTGGGTCAAACCACTTTATCCTGGTCGAGCCTTTTTAGATGCATTTTTAGTTTAAACTCGTGGGCCACATTTGATGATATGGTATCCGTTTTTGTAACCGATGTGTAACTGATTCTATTGGGAGATAACCACCGCTCTGTCGAATGCAAACAAGAAAGACAGACGTGTACTGCCCTTTGAGATTTTGACATGAGTAAAGCTCGTTTGTGGAGTGATTTTAGTAAATGACATGAGTAAAGCTCGTTTGTGGAGTGATATTTAGTAAATGCAACACACTACTCATAGGGTTGCTGAAAACGCTCCGACAGTCTATGACCGATTTCGCCCTTCTTGTGACCACCATAAACGAAATGTTTAGCTGAATTCAGTTGAGTTCCCTGTCAAAAACCATATTTGATGGCAACTAAGAGTAATCGTGGATTCGTATCTCCGCACTTGTCAAAAGATGGATACCTCACAAATTTTGGCGGAACTCTTGGACAACACATTGGAGAATTTGCGGGCCCGTCATTTTGGCCCAGTCACCTATATCCCATTAAATTTACTTCCTCTGGACACCACAAATAGGGTTAGTCTACATAAACACCTGTTTTCAAACCAGGACCACAGGAGACTCGACTGAAACTCTTGGTTCTAATATTCCAGCACTATGTCAATGAAGGTGATTGGGTGTTACCCCAACTGGGGCACACGGCGGCCTTCGTGCATCGCATGCAGTTTAATCATACTATAAAATCAGATGCGTGCACAATTCAGGTGGGTCTTCCGTCAACTCTATTTGCAAATGAGTGTCTAACTGAGCACATGTCAAATTACGTGTGCAACTACGAAATAAGTAGAGCTGTTAACCAGCCCTAAAGAGAACGAAATCAGTAGTGTCCCTCCAAGGAAAATACTCCTCTATCATAACTATCTTTTAAAAGAAAAACATGATATCAGGAAGGTCAGATTCCTGAATGCATCCTCAGAACACCCGGAACCTACTGCTCCACCAAAATCTCAACAGGAAAGCCGGCAGGCATCCAGGCAAGTCAATCATTCAATAAATTCAGCAAAAGCTGATGAGTGTTCTTGCACGCCACAGAAGCACGATCGAATGTGATCAGCGTTCAGGCCTTTCATAGAGGGACGATCGATGTTGATGGGTGTTCACTAACGCCCATCAGACAGCCTGGATCAATATCAGAAAGTCCCCTTTA